GAACAGGAAGAGAACCGGTTGACAGCGGCTGAACAGCCTACGGTGAAAATAAACCGATATATTTAGCAGGCGGGTAAGAAGCCAGACTGACAGAGGACAGTGTGCACTGATGTGGAGTGCTGTACTTGACGCAGTTTTCAGCCGGTAGTTCGCATTCCTCGGCGGCGATTTCTCTATAGTTGCCTCCCCCCCAACACACGGCGACCAACAGCTGTGCGCAATGGCGTGCTCTCGAGCGGGCGCGCCAGCGCGAATCCCAGGTGGCGCGCGCGGACGTGGTGCGCAACGAAGCCGCACCAGGGGAAACCTTGTGCTACCTGCCGACAGAGCGCCGGACCTGGCGGGATGCGTGCGCGCATTGTGCGCTCGCTTCCGCGCGCGGCGTTCTCCGGAGCGGTCGTCCCGGATGCAGCCGGCCCGCCGCCGTTCGACGGATATGCCCGCTCGAGAAAGCGCGTGCCACGGAAACGGCGAAGTGCCAGATGCCGCGTAGGCAAAAAAAAAAAGGGGGATTTTCAGCCGAGAGTGTGAACACGTAGACAATTATCTCTATTTGCGTCCCCCAGGAAGAGTCTCATCAAGAATCAATCACCCACACGTAATTATGCCCTACACACCGAGAATCGACACATTTAAAAACACTTTTCTCGTCAGAACGATTGTCTACTGGAACTGTCTTGCCGCCGATTTCTTTGAGAATGTAGACACAGTTGAATCTTTTGTTGGTAAATTAGAATTGTCATTGTATGATGTAGTTCCCACTCTGTAACAGCCCGACAGGGCTTACAGTATTGTGAATAAATAAATAAATAAAATAAATAAATAAAAACTCGAGATGCTCTCACTGAGCAGGCGATTGCACAGTGCCACCTGCAAGGCCCCACTGCAGCACTCGCAGACACTGAAGGTTGCTTTTGAGCAAGCGGAAGAAAAAGGATTACAAACAGGCCAACGCCACGAATTTGCCGCTTTCGAAATCGCTGCGGCGCGTGCACAACTTCTTTCGCAAGGGGCGGTGGAAACTCCGTCCTTCGAAGTGCGCCAGTATTGTTTTCTGCCAAGAGCCTTGAAATCGCTCAAAGGAATGCTGCGGCCACGGAACGTAGTGGATGGGCGCTTTTCAGGTGACGAGAGCGTGTTTCGAGTGACGCGAGTGTTGACAATTTAACGAGTGGCGACCCCAATAGCAGAAACAGTCATCCCGGCCGCTTTGGTCGGCGTTAGTCCCTTATGGATTGCAAAGAAAAAAAAAACATCAACAACAACAACAAAAACAGCGGTTGACCAGCTCGCGAAATGAAGACGTCGCGACTCGCTCCACAGCAGCGAGTGACGTTTGACGGAGAAAGAGGGGGCCCGCACGCGACCCTCAACAAACCCCCCGCATTCGCTCCCCTAACCTCGCGCACGACTCTCGCTCTCGGAGGCGCTCATTTTTATTTTTTCCTCCCCCGGCGCGTCTGTTTGCAAAACGTAAAACGTGCACATTAGAAGCGACCGTAGCCAATGGGCCCTTCTCCTTGATAGCGCCGGCAGCATTCTCGCGCAAAGTCTCGCGGCGCACACTATGGGTTGCCAGAGGACGACGGCTTGCGAGGGCAGGAGGGTGGTTGCAGTGAGGATTCCGCGGCCGAAAGCGAGACAGGAAAGGTCGCAACCCGCGGCGCGCATAGCCGGACCTCTTTAGGAGGCCAGCGCCGCGCGCGGAGAGAAACGCGACCACCCGCACGCGAAAGGAATGCAGCTTCGCCTTCCACCGCCCCCACTTCGGCCACCACAAACAACTGCTGGCGCAGGAGGGCTTCGGTGCGGCAAGTTCCGTTTCGACGACTCGGTAATTGAAGAGCGCGTCTAACTAAGACATCGCCGCTGATACCCTGCTGCTGCTCGCCGCCACACGCTCCTTGTGTGTACACGCGCTGGCAGTGCTGCAATCGCGGACAAAAAAAGAAAAAAAAAACACGAGCACACCTCGTTCGTGTGCCCCTTTCTCGCAACGCTCCTCGCTCTCTCTTCCGTGGTGCGGCCCCGAACGACCTCTTTTCTCGTCATCTTTCATCTGTTCGATTGCGAAGCCTCAGCTACGTCCTTCGCAACAAATGTGCCCCCGAAGGCTTTCCCGATAACAGTAAAACAGTAGTGCTAGAACAAAAGAGCCACCCCCAGAAGCAGCATCTGCGGTGGAGGAAAGGGCTAGCGCAGACGCACCACTCCACCGTAGTCGTACGCTTCGCTCTTCCAATTCACTGTGTTCCCCGCTTTCAGAAACAAAAAAGGGACGCGCACTCGATACTAGGCTAGGTTAGTGCCAGATTTTATTTCTTCCACAATGGCTCTACACATAAGGCCCAGTGCCAACCAGCCTCGTCATACAATAGGAGCCCTGAAAAAAAAAAAAAAAAAAAAAACGTTCGCGCGTGCAGACGCGGTCATACGTGAATGGAAACGGGACATGAGAAACGCTCAACACCTCCATATCCAAAATAGCTTGTGGTGCGCACAAGCGAAACGCCTGACCAACCGTCACTGTTCTAGCGGTGTGGCAGCTTGGGCTAGTTGATATGGCACGACGATAGTTGTAGCGCGAGAACAAAACGACGACACAGAAACAAGAGGCAGACGAAGCCGCTCGTGTCCTTCTTGTCTCTGTGTCGTCGTTTTGTTCTCGCGCTATAACTATCGTCATGTTCTAGCGAGGCGTCTCGATACATCGAAGAGGGTCACCTTCGGCAACACCGCGAATTCCGCACAACGTCGCGTAAATATCGAGCGAAAATTGCAAAACAGACATACACAGACCTTTAGAAATACTCCTCCCTTCGGAGTATGTTTTTGACGTGCCGCGACAAACTGAACAAAAAGCGCGCGACCAAAAAAAAAATAGATAATAAAAATTAAATCGCGGGACACGCCAGGCAAGGTCGCCACCAGGAAGTCGACCTTCGGGAGGAGGCCCCGGAAAGGCATTTCTCTGCTCGGGCCGATTCCCGGAAACCACCAGCCGGCACAAGGAAGCCGCGGGCACACAAGAAAATAAATAAGCCGCGATGTCCCCGAGAGACGAAGGAGCAAAGAAAGGCGAGTAAAACGGAAGCAGGGTAGCGCGAGCAATACAGCGCGCGGAGGGGGGGCAGGGATACGACGCCGCAGCAGAGCGCTCGGAGACGGCGGGCTGCTGCGTCGACGAGATGGAAGAAAGAAAAGGCACCGACCGACCAAGCTGCGACAATCTCAAAAAGCACCGCCATCGAAGGAAGATTTACGAGCAGCGCACGCCGCCGCAGGCACTGCACGACAAGGTGGAGTGCAAGACGGTCAACGCGCACAAAGGCTTTCTCGAACAGCAACCGCGGCGACGGCTCTTGCCCCCCCGACACACAGCGGGGCCAGGGAGTGACATCGCGTGACCTTTCAATTCCAAGCAACAGCTTCGGCACAAGGACCACCCGGCGGTGAGTGCCCACAAACGCGGGCCGACGCGAACTATGTTATGTTTTAACGAATGTCGTTCATTCTTTCAGCGCTTTGTCATTGACTCGAATGAAGCCACGCTCCCACTATTGCAGAAATCGGGAACGAGGATGGCGAGCAACGAACAGAATTGGAAAATAATCCTACCAAATGTCCATCATCATCAAACGCAGGCATTACCGCACAGAGGCCGCTTGCTAAATTATTCTCGGCTCAGACGAAGTACGGCCCCTTCCAAATAGCCTTTCAACGCCTTAAACTCGTCACAATGCTGCCACGGTGGAATAGCATCAGCACTGCATACCATCCCGCTCCTGTCCGCACTCTCAACCCACGACGGTCGCAGCCAGGATTCCCGAAACCAAGCGCGCTGAACCTACGGGCAGAATTGAGTGAACTGTTTGCTAAGAGGGCACACGATTTTTAAGTACCCAAATGGAACCCCCGTTGCCGTACATACTTTTCTTTTTCGTTGCTTACGCCAGCTATCACGCAGCTCAACTCGCACACGACTCGCACGAGTACCAGATATAGGAAGAAAGAAACTACGCGCAACAGTCGAAGCCGGCAGAAAAGGGAAGGCGCTGCTGCAATAGTCGTGGTATATCGCTTGCGTGAGCGCGGGTTTACCACGTTGCTCGAAAAGCGCGCGCGAGGCCGAAGCAGGCAAACAATCAAGCATAAAAATAATAAGGCAGGGAGAGAACGCCCCTCGGGACTAAAGCCGGTCACCAGGTGTTCTCGGCCCGACTCCCCTCCTCGAAGGCAGGCAGAGAACGGATGAGGGAGGGGGGCAATAATACAACACTGGCAGCGCGCGCGTGCGCACGTTCACGTCCCGGTGCGCAATGAGGAGACAACGGGCCGACCGCGGCGCACGCGCGAACAAGCGAGGCTGCGTGCTCGCGTCCCGTTAGCGCTCACGAAGAAAAGGCGGGGAAGAGAGAGAGAGAAAAAAAAAGAGAAAGGAGCAAAACGCGAGGCGAGCGAGGAACTCTCGCATGCGACGGTACGCGGGAACGCCGAAGACTGCGAGAGCCGCTGCATCGAGCAGCCCTCCTTTGCCTCCCCATACGCCATTCTTTTCCCTACTGCGGGACGACGGCATCCCACTTTCTATGGACAAGCGCTGCACGCTGCGCGAGGCGATGGAGTGATAAGCAACTAAGCAGAGAAAACGCTAGAGGGTACTGACAGAGAGAAGAAAGGCAATATAAAGAGTAAAGCAAGCGACACACGGTAGAGGAGCAGCACGTTCCCGAAGCCCATAATAGTGGTAACGGATCCGAGTCTGTGTCACTCCACTGCCGACATGTGTCGGAGATAGTACTACGCATACTAATGAGAGAACTGTTTTCAACGTGCCAGGATCCGCTAGCCAAGATCAGCGAAGATCCGTTAGGGGCGTATTTCTCCCCGAGGGAGGATGCCAACACTCTTACGTGGTTTCATGACATGATCAAACATTTTTTCCAGAGACCGGCTTCAAGGGCATTGACAACGCATAGATAATGCGCTCCCTTGCGTACCTGCTATCCGGAGGAGCGCTGCGGCGAGCACGATGAACAGGAGCCAGCCCGGCGGGCAGGTGGCCAGCCTCCGAGAGTCAACCTGTAGCAGGCCCTTGGGCCACCAGGGACCGCCCGCTCCGCAGCTGGACGCCGGCGAGGAGGAGGAGGAAGAGGAGGAACCAGCGCCTGCGTAAAGGGGCAGACATTACACACTACCAAGACACGACAGGGGCACCTCTCGATGCATCAGCGATACTATTTACGCGTACACGCTCCGCAAAAGTGCACTTCACAAACCATTCCCGCCTCTATGCCGAACAGTGCAAGTAGCCTTATTATATACGCGAGTAGCGCAAACATTTGTGCCACTGAGACTGCACGATCTCCCGACGTCGCAGTCGAGCAAGCTGATCGCGGCTTCTTGGTGCAGTAAAGCCTGCAATCGCTGCATGCATGCCAAGGACGCCTTAGAGGCGTCTGCGCAAACAAGTACTCGATGGCGAGAAGAACGGTCTAGGCAAAGTCCACTTCACTCGCTCTCAGAGTGCAAGGCCTTGAAATAGTATGCGATCTCCGTTTGTCACGAGAACGTGACAAACGGAGACGCTGGCATATTGAGCCTTATATATACATCATCCCTCCCAAAAAAATTCTATGCCCCGAAAGCTACGTTGTAAGATGCATGACACTAATCAATCATACCGTCCACTGGAAATGACTATAATTGGGTATAAGTATAGAAAAAAAAACATTTCAACCTCGAAGGTGGATGCATACACACCAGCACTAATGGGCACGGCATGTCTGCAACCGTCATGAGTCGAACGGCCGGCGATATTCCTATCCGTTAACATCGCCCAGTACATGAACGGGTATCGTAAGTCGCTAGGACAATCGCCTGCCGCGCTTGATTGATTGATATGTGGGCTTTAGCGTCCCAAAACCCCCATATGATTATGAGAGACGCCGTAGTGGAGGGCTCCGGAAATTTCGACCACCTGGTGTTCTTTAACGTGCACCCAAATCTGAGAACATGGGCCTACAACATTTTCGCCTCCATCGGAAATGCAGCCGCCACAGCCGGGATTCGATCCCGCGACATGCGGGTCAGCAGCCGAGTACCTTAGCCACTAGGCCACCGCGGCGGGGCTACATGCAGTATATACTGAGATGACAATAAATGGTTAATGTTCGACTTCGTTCGGCTAAGTTCTTCGCTCCCCTAAAACACAATGGCACTCAACTTTTTTTCATTAGTAACACTAACATACCACCAAGTAGGCGTCATCAGATTATCACGTCACGGCGAGTTCCGTACGACAACCCGTATATGTTTTTCCCAGTTTTCTATTTTCTTTTCTTCGCTCACCAAACTTCATCTCGCGGCGTGAACAGCGCTGCTGGTATTGTGAAAGGAAAATTTTCCAATTACACAAACGCAACGTTCTTTCTATTCAGATTCCCTCTCGAGTGGGGGGCGAAGCGCGCACGCCCTATCAGAGCATCGCTAAAAAAAAAAGCAGCCCGCTTAACTACAGGCTTGCTGGGACAGATCATTTGCGAGCTTCCGACCAGCGCGTCCTTATTACGCAAGGCCGCCAGACGGCGGCAAACGGTACGCGTCCTAGTGTTGCGTGTGCGCGGTGATCACCCGGAGCGTAGACAGTCGGCGACGACGGAAGCAGCCACGACAGCACGTGCCGGCACATGCAAAAAGAGCCGCGCGACGGATGGCGACCAATTGTCACCAGATAAGCGCGGAAAGAATGCAGCGACGCGACGGCCAGCTCCGCATTCTATGGCACGACCTGGAACAACGCGCCGGCGGCACGCGAATCAAAAGCGGCTCTCCAAAGAAACACCCGAGAGGCGGGGAGGAGGAGAGGCAAGAAAGCAGGCCCAATAAAAGCGGGACTTTCTTTCTCTCTCTCTCTCTCAAAGCACCGCCACATGTAATGCGCGGCTAGCGCCGGCTGCTTATCACTGCTGGCATTTCCGCCGTTGCCTCACGACACAAGAGTTGGCCAGAGACACGAAAGGATGTATACCGAGAGTCGACCTAGAAAACAATAAATGAAAATGAGAGAGAGAGGTAGGCGAGGACTCACCAGGAGAGCAACTTCTGAAGTCACAGTCAGGAAGTCGGCGCTTAACTTCGAAGAGTACCATTTGCGGAAAAAAAAAAAAAAAAACGCGGACACCGTAACAGCATCAACTAATATAGCAATCGTCCTTTGTATACCCTTCTTTTTTTCTTTTTTTAACGGATTACTTAGTAATACCATCACATGCGTACAGGCGAACGAGCAGACATGAGAACGTGAAACCTCGCTACGCACTGCTACGAAGAAAGTAAGGAAAAAGAGGAGAACAGAAAAGAAATACAAGTATGTTCATCAGTCTAGCAGGACCGGTATGCTACCCTACACTGTGGTCAAGGATGAGGGAGTTTTAAAGACGGAGAAAGAGAGAGCACGAACTCTCTCTCTCTCTCTCTCTCTCTCTCTATATATATATATATATATATATATATATATATATATATATATATATACACGTGCGTGTGTGAGAGAGAGAGAGAGGGAGAGAGAAAGAGAGAAGCTGATACCTTGCAATTCAAGCGAACAATTGTTAATTTTTTTCCCTCCATCTAACTCGCTCCCGTCCTCGACTGCGTTTCTCATCCATTGGTGCCTATTTTGTTGCTCTCACACACCACCGCATGTCTGCTACATATCACATGGCCAGCCCAGATGGAGTTCTTCCGCTTAAAGTGAACTAGCCACGTTTGTTCTCTGAGCCATTCTGCTGTCACCCACTCTCTTAATGTTACGGCTATCGTTTACCGTTACGTCATACGCACATTTGTCTTTAAAGGTGCCGACAACCATTTTTTATGGTACCTGTTTTCCCTATTGCAACTAAAATTTTACCGGTCAGTGCGAAATCATTTACTGGTATATGCGGAATACGCTGTGGAAACTGCACCTTTCGGGTCAGCAGTAGCGCACAGTAACTACTGCAGACCACCGTGGCGGCTATAGTTATATATAATCTCACAAACTTGGAACGTTGGTTGCCGATATAATCTCACAGACTTGGAAGGTTGGTTGCAGATCATGAAATTACCTTTGTGTTCAGCATATTCATAGTTTTTATCCCTGCTTAGGCACTTTCTCCGGTCTAGGTCCTGCGATAGATATATTTCAGGACCTTATCTTGCAATTCATCGCCATCATTGCTGAATCTGTAAATCGTAAGCTGCTATTACTTCCGCATAATTCATTCTCATCGCTTCCGAATACACCCACCCTTTGAATACTTCTAAGCAAGTCGTGAAGAAAACTGGAGAGATCGCATCAGTACCTCCTTGACTTACACCTTCACTGATCGCAATCACTTTGCTTTTTTCCTGCGGAGAGGCAAGGTAATTCTGGAGTATCTGCACATGCGGGTTAAGGTATTTATGCTTCAAGTGCTCCCCTGCAACATAATTCTTCCAAGAATGCGGATATTTCTACTCAGTCGAATGCCTTTTCGTAGCCTACGAGAGCCACACTATATAAAAAGGGTTAGTTGTAGTCGATACGTTTCTCAATTACCTGCTTGATCACACGGCTGTGATCCATTATAGAGTAGCCCTTCCCTTAGCCAGCTTGCACGCTGGGTTGGTTAATAAGATTAAGTGTTTACATAATCCTGTTTGCAGTACCCCTCGCAAACATTTTGTGCAACACTGAAAATGAGCTGGTGGGTATACCATTCTTCAGTCTTTTACGTCTTCCCACCTTGTCGATGCATATAATTTTGCTACATTTCAGCTCACAGACACAATCGCAACTAGCACCACAAAAAAGAAGGGGCACGAGAAAGGAAGACGAACACAGACTCGGTGTTGCGCCCATGTTCGTCTTATAATAAAGGGTGTTTCAAGAAATTGTCCAATATTATTTAAAAATTAATAAAAGGCCCCATTTGCTCACTGTCTTCAGATTGCTTTTTCTGTAACAGCAGGCATCTTAAAAGGGCTGAAGACATCATGTATATTCGTACTTATGAAAGTTAAACTGACTTTTTAATTCAAGGAGTCAGACAGTTAAATGAAGGAGGAGAATTGAAGTCCTTCATGCCAAGAACCCATTGCCACCTAGAGATTTTGGAAAAGCGACCTCTAGTAATAACTACAAAATAGTTAATTTATCCTAAATTCTGTGGCGAAACCGAAGACAAAGGGCCGATGAGCGCAACAAGCAGACCAATACAATGACGTCGCAGTTCAAAACAGTGGTTACAGGGGTGCAGTTTTCCCCGGTTCATTAACGTGTGCGCGTCATGCGTGCTGTAAATGTGAGCGCAGCCCACACACCCACACAACGAAGTCGGTTGATGGTTGATGTAACAAGGCTCTCTCATTTTAGAGTCACTCTTTCGCGTTTCGGTTTCACCGCCGACTTGAGAATTTTATTAATTCGCAGCTATTACTAGAGGCCGCTTTTCCAAAATCTAAAGCGGCAATCATGAAGGACTGCAATTCTCCCATTTGACTTAACTGCCTAACTCCTCTAGTTGAAAAGTTAATTATTTTAATTTTTTCTAATTAACGTTCCAAATAATATTTTCAACCCTCTTAAGATGTCTGCCGCTATAGAAAAAGCAACTTTGAGGACATCGAGCAAACAGCGCCTTTTTTCCCGATAAAAAAAATTAACCCATTTCTTGAAACACCCTGTATATAGCCCTGTCACACTGGAGGTGTTGTTGTCATCATAGGTTCAAATGCCATTCAGTGTAACGAATGCCATTCCATCCATGGTGGTGCTAGACAGAAAAAAGTAATGTCGTTCGTTCATGATAGTAATGTCGATAATTCAGAATAATAATAAAAAAAACACAGGAAAAGTTGCGGAAGGTGACTGTAGAGTGGCAGAAAAGTGAAGTTGTTTATCTTAAAAGACGTCCGGGAAGTCCCCTCGCTAAATAAAGGCGCATAGAAATTTTATACGACTTAAAATATATGGTCACTACAAAGCAAGACGATCCGCTGAGCCGGTAGCCACAGCCGACAGAATTAATAAAAGCACAGCTGACAAGGCAGAGCCGCTGAACGACGACGCCAAGTATTTAGTTGCTTTGTTAGTGGCGGTGCGAAAAATGTGCATAAGCCAGAAAAACAGACTTGACTGTGA